CCAAGCTGATATTATACGATAGGATAAGGTAAGATAAATCAATGCGAATTATTATTTGTAGTGAAGAGTTTGTTGCCAGGTTATCGAAGTGTACAAATGTATACAACCCGACACCTGATTAATTATGCACGCAACGCCGGTCTTGTATACGATAAACCCGGTCATTTGCTATATTTATGTTAAATAGTTATATTATGAATATTCATAAGTGATCATGGAGCAAATCTTTAGTATAGCGCCAACCTTCCACCATTTCAGTTTGCACGTACTGCATTCCTACATGGTGTAATAACAGCTAGAGCGTTGATAGCATATTCCATTATGAGATAGGGGTATGGTACTTTTTCTCCGGAACGAAATTCATGTAGGATAGTTTGCAGGAATATGATAAAAAAATATACCATCCCAAAATATATATTTATTAATAGCATATGGTGGTAGATTTTAAGTCAGGTATAATGGATTTATTTTACAGAAGACTCTGCGTTCTCGTGATTTGTTCTATATTGCAGGGTTTGAGCCAATTTGTCTTAGAGCGGTGATTGAAACCCGTTAGAAAGGCAACATATCTCGATTATTTACTAATTCATGACTCCAGAAAGCTGTATACGCTGAGTTGCTTTTGGAAGTGAGCCCTGCTAAGATGTTTGGAGTAGTTACTATAGAAACGGACCACCTAGCAGTGTACTCCCGGCTCTACAATACACTGTACAATCTTAAAAAGAACCTCTTAGCTTACTGCTCGAAGACTCTTGTTGTACCGGTGGCAGTGTGGAAAGCAATGTCCCTTGTACATAAGTACGAGTACGAATTTTTGCATGGTTGTGTCACCAGCGTTTTTTACAGAAATAGTTGAGATTCTGATTTCCATGTACTATATATAAAGATAAGATTAAAAGGTTGTAACAAAAATTGTATACCAGTCTGACCTAATCTGAGTGGCCAGCGCCCTCTAATATCAACATATTGAAAATAACTGTATATATCGTGTTGCTGTGATTTATTATAAACGTTTACTTTTCTCCTTGTACACCTAGGACAAATCCTACACTATTCCGGCGACTTAAGTTGAAGTAACGACATATGAGAAATATACCATAGAAGTATATAGAGTAATACCATATTATGTGAACGAGAAATGAAGTGACACATTATTCAACAGTGTGTACATTCAATCCTTCTAACATTCTTTCACATTGTCGCCTGCTCTTCGCCCGCCCGCTATATTATAATAGATACCTAAACAAATTTTTCAAGTATGCACTTCCATCGAGTCTCTTACCTCCGTGTTGGTGATAGAGGGCGCAGTGCTAACATCAGCTATATCGACAATCATAACACACTTCATAGAATTTTACTTGACAGACAAAGTGGTTACAATATTTGTGTATACACATTTCATTTAATTTGCTGTTCTAAAATTATTTTTGAAATTGTGCTTTTAAACAACAAATATTTATGGTTCGTTTCGTTGAACATATAAGTATTGTACTGTAAGTATTGTACTTGGCCGGCAAGGCTCTTGTCATGACGGCATGCTCACATAAAAACAAAATCAAAACCCGCCGTACATATGTCACAA